CAAGGAATGAATGGAAACCCAAAATCTCTGTAAATATTTATGAAAATTAATAAAATATAGAAAAAAAAAGAAAAGGTATGGAGACAGAATGCATCCCTGATTCACTCCTTTCCTAAGTTTGAACCATGAAGTGTTTCCCTTCTCTGTTCTGAGGACTGCTTCCTGGTTCAAGTATAGGTTTCACATAAGCACAATCAAGTGTTCTGGGATGCATATTCTCCTCAAAGTTAGCCATAATTTGTTGTGATCCACACAGTCAAATACCTTTGCATAGTCAATGAAACACAGATAGATATCCTTCTGGTACTCTTTGCTTTCTGCCAAGATCCATCTGACATTGGTGATAATGTCTCTTTAGTACCGCGACTTCTCCTAAACCCAGCTTGTATTTCTGATAGTTCTCTGTCAGTGTACTATTCTGGCTGTTTCTGGATAATCTTCAGCAGGATATTGCTGGTGTGTGGTATTAGTGAAATTGTTCAATAATTTACACACTCTGTTGGGTCACCTTTTTTTTTTTTTTAATGGGAATAAATATGGATCTCTTCCAGTCAGTTGGCCAGGTATTATGAGACTTTATAAACTAAAGAAGGAAGAAACATGAGAAGTGAGCTTTTGAGTCTTCGGTGGTTACTTTGGTTGCTACAGCTGAAGGGTGAAAAGCCAGGCCCATTAAGCAAAATGAATGTTAGAGGGACAGGGCCTTTGGGTTCCACTCAGCTGGAGGACCAGATCCCTGTACATATAAATGGAAAGATAGTCAAGGGTTGGAGAAAGGAAGATTAAATTGGAATGTTTAAAAAGGATTAAGTGTGCATGTATTACTGGAATGTGCTATGAATCTTCAACATTTCTTCTAAGTGGTGTAAAATGTGTGTTGGAAATGAATACTGGTTACTGGCAATTATAGAAAGCCTCTAAGCTTGCCATCAGTTAACTGTTGATTGAATAAGGTAATAGGGAAATAAGATTTGCCTGGGGGGGGGGAACATTTGCTGCTTGGTTTGAAAGCAAGAGACATATCTAGAAATCCCCATTCAATATCTTCTGAGACAGGAAAGCTGTATTTAATAAGACTTGGAGACCAATGCAGGACTGTAAAAAGAAGAGATGTAGGTTTGAAGAACTACAGAAAAAAAGGACAACTGGTTAGAATTGTGTATTTCTAGCACAGAGTTTGCCCTGCACTCAATCAGGAAAAGTCCACGCACATCAAAAGCCCACTTTGAGGACCAGGAGTTATATGGGGCTGGTGAGCAGACAGCATCTATGCTCACTCATGGTGACCACCTGAGTCCACCTGATGCGTGGGAGTGGAGGGGGTGCAACAACAAAGACGGGCTGAATCTGGATCTGGTCCACTGGCACCTGCTGGGCTAGCACACAGAGGCGAGGGTGAGAGAGGAAGGGATGCAGGTCTGAAATGCAGCATGTTATATGGACTTCTGGCCTGCTGACTTAGCCCATGTGGGGCTAAGGTTGAGAGACAAGGGTCTGGCTGGTCTGAAGTGCAGGAAAAAGTCTGAATTTGTAGCAGGTGTCCACTGGTTCTTGCTTTCTTGCTTTGGATGACTAAAGAGTTGACCAGAACCCGGCCAAATGAAGAGCACTGTGAGCTGGTGTGTAAGGCTATAATTTGATGGCTTTCTCTGGACTCAGCATTGCTTATGTATGTAAAAGCGCAAAGTTAAAACTGGAATACAAGAGTTTTCAGATCAAGGAACGTACTTGTCTCCTCAGAGTACTAGTGTGACAACCTGGAAACTGGCTCTATAAAGTACTAAAAAAAAACCCCAAACAACCCAAAAACCAACAAAAAATAAACAACACCCCATCAAGCCTATTGTACTCATCAACTCACAGACAATTCTTCATCTGGTTCCCGAAGCTGTAAATTATATGGAAAGAGGTTGCCCATCATTCACTAAAGGAGTGGCTGGTGGATTTGAACCCCCAGAGAAGTGTGGCCTCAGCAGCACTCTCTAAAGACAAGGCCACCATAGCTCCCTTTTCTAAAAGAAGTGCAGATAAAGGCATGAAGTTGCTGGCTCACCTTTAATCATGGGTGTCCTTATTGGTTAAATGATTGAGAGGGGACAGTTAATCCCCCAAGTATGAAAAGGCCAATGCTAGAAGAACCAAGATGAGACGGGGCAGCCCAAGCCAGGTCTTAGGGAGGGTGTCAAACCACAAGGCTGAGACTTCGCCCATTGAAACATTCCCACACTATACTGCAGTGAACACTTAGTCCTGTTAAAGTTGCTTTCCAGGTAGAACCAGCGTAAACTATTCCTTAAGCATGAGAGTTCTCCAACCTCTGCATGATCATTCCCTATAGGCAGGAGGGAGCCTCTTACTAGGAGAGCACTCTGGACTCTGGTCACCCACAGAAACTACTCAAGGGCACTAAGCTTTGTCTTTCATCCTTTAGACACATAGTCATGTAAGGATATTCCTTGGAAAGGAACATCATGCTTGGAAAGATGAAGAGTCAGTGAAAGAGAGGAAGATGCCCTAACGAGATGGTCTACCACTGTGACTTCAGCAATGGGCTCTAGTCTCAGAGATGATGACGATGGCACAGGATAGGGCAAGGCTCAGAACGGCTGTTCATAGAGTCACTACAAGTTGTACTTGACTCAATGGCATCTAATAACAACAATCCAAAATAAGGGATCTCTGGTGGTTTAGGGGTAAAAGCTGCACTGACATCTCAAGGGCACACAGTTCAAATCCACCAGCTGCTCTGTGAAAGAAGGATGGGCCATTTCCTCCAGTGTGATTTACTGCCTCTGCAAACCTATTGGAGTGTCAGCTACAAATCAGTTCTGACTTGACAATACTCAGTAACACATTCCATAGTGAGCGATGCCCACTGCTGAAGCCTTCAAGACGAAAACCCATCTTAAAAGACTGGATGCACAAGCCTAGATGGGCCAGTACCTTGAAGACTCTTCCTCTCCCCAGACAACTAGTGAATACATAAAGCTTTACTGTTGCTGTGTACTGTCAAGTCAGAATTTACTCATACCTGACCCTCCCACAGATTTTCAGAAGCAGTCAATTATAAGGTAGGAGACTGCCCATTTTTCTCCTGTGGAGCAGCTGGTGGGTTCAATGCATGTGTCTTTGGGTTGGCAGTGTAACTTCTTACCTCTAAGCCACCAGAGTTCAAAGGTTTGCTGTTGTTAGACGCCATCGACAATATGACTCATAGTGACTAACGAACAACAGCTCTGAGCCCTGTTCTGTCCTGTGCCATCTTCATCATGGCAGTCACTGTGCCAAGTCATCTCATTGAGGGTCTTCTTCTCCTTCGCTGACCCCTCCATCTCTCCAAGCATGATATCCCTTTCCAAGGAGTAGCCTCTGCTAGCAACATGCTCAAAGTATAAAATCTCACTAATTTGAACCCTGGTGAGGACAGATTTGCTGTGGTTTGCCCTGGTTCTCCCTCACAAGCCTCTCCCTTCTCTCTTCATAAACCCTGCCTTCCCCAAAGATCATCTTCTCATTCTTGTTTAGACTACACAAGAATTCTCAACTCTGAGGTACCTAGAACAGGGGGTGGCTTTCAGTCCAGGAACTTACTTGACATGGCCCTCCTAAATTACTGGTTTTGTAATTCTCACCACAAAAGCGGACTGTTGTTGCTGTGTATTTCTTATGACTCTGTTACTTTTCTTCTGGAACACCATTTACACTTATGTTAGATCTTTTGTGCCATGTCTTGTATGTTTCTGGATACTTTCACCCCTTTTAATTTGAATATCTAATAGTGTTTAGGAAGCACTAGTCGCCTAGAGATAAGAAATATTTGACAACTGAGAATTTTCCAAAAAAAGAATGGTATTAATTCAGAAAGTTTAGGTGAGCTGCAGGGAGGTCAGGTGACATAGTCTTAGAGAACTGGACATAGTTGTAGAGAATTGGACTAACCCAAAGGCCACACTTGTCTAGTGATTCAAATCCCCTAATCATGCCTTAGGGGAAAGATGCACAATCTCCTCCTTTGCAATTTACAGCCTTTGAAACCTGCTGGAGGGTTGGCTGTGAGTCAGAACTGATTTGATAACAGGCAGAGAGAGAAAGAAAGGACTTACAAATTCCAAAAAGGATAAAAGCCATACGCAGGCGCAGCATAAACAGACTGCTGAAAAAGTGTCATAGAGTGAATCCTCCCTACCAAAATCCATGAGTGTAATGACAGAACACAGAACCTATGTAACCAAATAGTCACAGGAGGATTAAGGGTGGCATGCAGCACAGGGCTGGTCAGATGTAAAGGGAGTTCCCTAAGCTCCAGCCTGTAATACCTTTTATCTCACTAGAGATAAAAGGGCAGGGGAGTTAGCTGATAGGAGGGACCTCACACCACCAAGGAGAATTGCCAGGAGTGGAGGGTAACGTTTTAGAACCTAGCACCTGTGTTAGAAAACTCCTTGACATCAGAAAAATAAAGGCAGGACACATGAAGATCTCCAAAGAGGCTCTGGCCTTCAGATGCTTAAAGAAATAAGCACTGTCCTCCACCACCTACAGAAAGAGAGAACTGGCCTTCCCCTGGAGCTGGAAAACTTTAACAAATCTCTCATATTAATCCATAAAAGTAGGGGGGGAAATCACTAAGGATAGAAAAGATCCAGAACTATACAATTAACAAAATAAATCCTACACCACTGAGAGTTGATTTCAACTCACAGAAACCCTTTAGGACAGAGAAGAACTGGCTGCAGGGTTTCCAGGACTGGAAATCTTTATGAAAGCTGACTGCATCCTCTTCTGGCCACAGAGCGCCTGTTGAGTTCAAACCTCACGTTAGCAATTGTATGTTTTGACCACTGTGCTGCCAGTGCTCCTTACACAACCAGCAAGCTTTAACAAGCTGACAAAACTGGACCGATGTGCAGCATCATGATGAAACGAGAAAAGGTCGAGGGGGTCAAGGATTCCATCTTGCTTGGATCCACAATCAATGCTCATGGGAGCAGCAGTCAAAAACTCAAAATTGCACCGGGTAAATGTGCCACGAATGATCCCTTTAAAGTACGTCTGTTACCTCAAGGGCTAAGTGCTCCTGCCCCAAACCATAGTATTTTCCGTCATTTCACGCATATGTAAAACCTGGACAATGAGTAAGAAAGACTGAAATAAAAAATAAAAATAAGAACAGCAGTCACTGTGAGGGTGGAACAGGACCAAGCAGTGTTTTGTTCTGTTGTACAGGAAGCCACTGAGTTAGAAGTGACTTGACAGCACCAAACAGCAGCAATCTAATTGATAAACGAACACTGTTCTAACAATGGTAGAACAAATATTCTAAGTATATGTGAAACATTTTCCAAACAAATGTGTTAGATTTTAAAGCCAGCCCCAGCAATATTCAAAGAGTGGAGTCATTCAGAACATATTCTTTTACTGTTATGGAGTTAAAGCAGAAATGAGTAACAAAAGCAAGCTGGAAAATATGCACCACTTGTAGATTAAGCAGTACACTCTAAATACTCATTAGTCAAAGATGAAATGATAATTTTAAAATCACATTAAATATTTATAGTTAAATGAAAATGAATACTGTTAAGCAGTGCTTAGAGAAAATGTTCAGCCTTAAATGTATTTTTTTTTCTCCAGAAGAAAGGCTGGAAATCAATTATTTAAGCTTCTATTTTAAAAGACTAAGTTAGGAATAGACAAATCAAACTCTAAGAAAAGATAAGGGATTATAAAGATATGAGCAGATAGCAACTAAGCTGAAATTTCTTTTTTGAAAAAAGAGTAATAAAACTGATAAGCTTTTAGCCAGACATTATAGGTATTTCCTTTAGGAAGATTATTAAAGAAAATATAAATTATCACTTTCAGGAAGGAGGGGTAAGGCATATCACAATACATTCTGACACACTAAAAAGCTAAGAGAATATAATGTAATTTTTTAGCTGTAAATGTAATAATACAGATGAAATGAATAAATTCTTTGAATATTCCTTTACTAAAGAAATTTAATCCATTATTAAAAACATTCCAACAATGAAGGAGAAAGCTTGAGTTTTTCTTCAATACCTTCACCTTAAGAAATGCCAAGTGATCAAGAGTCCAGAATAAGAGATGAAAAGAAAAGTGGACTTGGGTGGTGGGTAGGGAGGAAATCGTGCAACAATGAATGAATTTTTTAAAGAGAAAAGTGAACTGGGGGTGGGTAGGGAGGAAAATGTACAATAATGAATGAAATACAAGTTTTCTGTAAACTTTCATTAAAATCACAATTTTTTTTAATAGCCAAGTAAGTTAATCCTTTTTGATTTCCTGACTCCAGCTTTTCGCACATTTTATTATAGTACTTTGCTTTGTCTTCCTGAGCTGCCCTTTGAAATCTTCTGTTCAGCTCTTTAACTTCTTGATTTCTCCCCTTTGCTTTGGTTTCTTGGTGCTCTTGTGCAATATTCAGAGTCTCTTCTGGCATCCACCTTGGTCTTTCTCTCCTCCTCAATCTCTGTAAGAACTTTTACATTCTTCATGGATGATATTCCTTTTTTTTTTCTTTATGAATGAAATTCTTTATATCCTTCCATTATTTCCATTAAAAAAAGTTATTTGACAGAGTGTGAAAATTATAAACTGTATTATTATTATCACACGCAAGCAAGATCCTGCTGAAGATTATCCAAAATGACTGAAATAGTACATCAACAGAGAACTACAAGATGTATAAGCTGGGTTTAGAAGAGGCCATGGCAACCATGGACGTTATAGCCAATGTTAAATGGATCTTAGCAGAAAGAACCAGGGGAATGTCTATCTGTGCTTCATTGACTATGTAAAGGCATTTGACTGTGTGGATCACAACAAATTGTGACTAACCTTGAGAAGAATGGGAATCCCAGAACACTTAACTGTGTTCATGCAAAACCTATACTTGGACCAGGAAGCAGTGGTCAGAATAGAGCAAAGAAATACTGCATGGTTCAAAATCAGGAAAGGTATATTACATGATGCCACTGTTGTAGAATGGGACTGTCCTTGGGGTTGGGGAGAGACTGAGTAAGATGGGTTCAATGATGTGTGCTGCACTGAAACAGAGGAGGGAGAGAACCGTTTAAAAGAGAGATGGAACTGGGTATTTCTGTCATCACAGGAGACTAGAGCGAGGGCTGCATGGTGGAGGGGACCTGGGGGAGGGTTTGTAAAACAATGAAAGAATCTTTTCTTTTACTTTTCCATAATTTTTGGACTCATGTACTTATAACTTGTTAGTCAAATTTGTGTCTTCTAGGTTGCAACACCCCCATGATACATCTTGAAGGATATGTACATGTACAGCCAAGCACAATCAATAAGAGTGCATCTGAATTCCAAAATCAATCTCCATAATAGTCTATGTGTTTCCTACTGCCAAAGGGGCCCTTTAGAGTAGTGAGAGAAGATCTTCACCCTGAAACCCACAGCGTCCCTTTTCAGCAGGAAGTAGCTAAGAGAATACACCGTCCCCTTTTCCTTATGACTCAGGGTGAAGTCTCTCTCAGGGAGGAGTGATAGGGAATGGCAAAGGATACACTGACAAAGAAGATTGATCAGAACTGGCTTTGACAAGCACTGTGGCATTTGGACAAGAACAAACTGGGAGGAGGGTAGAGAGAATAGTGCAACAATGAATGAGTGGAAGCCCAAAATCTCTGTAAATGTTTATGAAAATTAATAAAATATAATTATAGGAAAAAAAAATCAGGAAAGGTACACACCAGGGATGCATCCTAGCTTCATTAACTTTTCAATCTAAATGTTTAACAGATCATTCTGGAGACTGGATTCTATGAAGAGGAATGTGACATCAGAATTGGAGGAAGATTCATCAACAATCTGCTTAGGCTGATGACACAACCTTGCTTGCTGAAACTGAGAAGGACTTGAGGCATTTGCTGTAGAAGGTTAAGGACTGCAATCTTCAATATGAAGCTCAACATCCAGAAAACAAAGATTCTCGCCATTGGGCCAATTGGTAGCATCATGATAGGTGGAAAAGAAACTGAGATTGTTAACAATTTCAGCTTGTTTGGTTCCACATTCAACACTCTTGGCACCAGCAGTCAGGAAATTAAAAGATGATTGCACTGGGAAAAGTTACTGTCAGAGACTTCTCCAGAGTATTGAAGACCAATGATGTTAGTCTAGAGACTAAGGTGTGCCTGATCTAGGCCATGGTCTTTGCAATTACATGGTATGCATCAGAGAGCTGGACAATGATTAAGAATGATGGAAGAATCAGTGATGTCCTTGAGTTGTGGTGCTGGAGAAGAGTACTGACCATATTATGGACTGCTGAGAGAACAAACAGGTCTGTCCTGGAGAAGATGAAACTAAGCTGCTCCTTGTAGGCAAGGATTTTGAAGCTCCATCTCACATACTTTGGGCATGTTGCCAGGAGAGACAAGTCCTTGGAGAAGGCCATCATGCTGGAAGGACAGCACAAGAGAGAAAGACCCTGGATAAGATGATTGACTCAGTAGCTGGGGTAATGGAGTTAGGTGTGGTAGAGACGATGAAATTGACTCAAGATAGGACAGGGTACAGAGCTACTATAATAGGGTCACTATGAGTCACAGGAGACTCAACGGCACATAACAACAACAGAGGGAGAGCAAAAAATAAAAATTAGGCTCAACTCCTCTGCCTCTGCGTAGGTCAAGAGTTGTGCCCCAGCATGCTGGATGGAATAAAACCTCATGCTGTTTGCATCAAGGACGGTCTCTCGTGAGTGATTGGTGCTGGCGTCCGATCTCATTGGGGTCCGGCTCTGTGGATCCAACATTTGGTGCATTGGCTGGGAAACCGACGACAGCCCCTCACTCCTGACACGACCCCCCTTGGAGGTGCTCTTCACTACTGAAGAGCGAGAGAGAATTCTCCTGGAGGCGCGGAAAAATGTGCCTGGAGCTGACGGGAGACCTACCCAACTCCCTAATGAAATAGACCGAGGGTTTCCTTTGACGAGACCCACCTGGGACTACAACACTGCTGAAGGGGTATTAAGATTGCCTGCAGGGGCGACGCAGCGCGAGGGCGACGCCGCCAGCCGGGGGAACACACGACGCCGACCAGGGGAACGCACGCCACTGCCCGCTGGGGGGAACGCACGCTGCCGCCCGCCAGACCGGGGGAACGCCGCTGCCAGACCGGGAACGCCACTGCCAGCTGGGGGAACGCACCCCGCCACCCGCCGGGGGAAACGCACGCGGCCGCCCGCCAGACCAGGGGAACGCCGCCAGCCGGGGGAACGCACCCCGCCGCCAGCCGGTGGGAACACACGCCGCCGCCCGCCAGACTGGGGAACGCCGCGAGAGGGACCCGGAAGAGACCCGGG